GAGCACCACTGAGAAAATTTGGATATGGACTGGATATTATAAGATATTGGAAAGGTACTTGTTTATTTTCTTAGCTGTTATAATAGTATGGTGGTTATACAGGAGAATATCCTCTTTGAGATGGGGGGCGGTGCGCGTGCTGGTGTATTTAGAGGTTAAACATGTTGATATCTATCTACAATTTAATTTTATATGGCTCCAGGGAAAGAAAAGAAAGCCACAGTTACAATAAATAAGCAAAATGGTACTAATTATTGACTTTAGATGGAGGGTAATGTGTTGACTGTGTTTTTAACTTGTCTATGTTTAAATTTTTTCATAATAAAAAGTTGGAGAAGTTTGATTTTGGATGTATCTAAGTTGCCAATTAAACCTAAATTAAAGTATATAATACTATATATACTAAGGATCCTGTAAATGGGTAGAACATTACAATACAGGGAGCAAGTGCCTTAGAAATGTTCGTATCAGAAGTTAAAGCATTCACAAATATATAGTGATGGAAGGAGAACTGACTCTGGGTGGTGAACACACAATGTGATATATAGAAAATGTATTATAGAAATGTACTCTTGAAACCTATACAATTTTACTAACCATTGTCACACCAATAAATTACATAAATAAAAAAACTTCTGAATGTGAAAAACCAAAACTAAAAAAAAAAAGGTTAAGGTTAAAGCATTCAGCAGCCATTCTATACCCCCCTCTATCCCCCCATTTCTTTATTTTGTTTTTGGAACCAAGAATTGCATTTAACTCTTTACTATAATTTCATACGAGAGCTGAAGAGAAATTATAAATAATTCTTGTTACTCCCTCACTTCTTCTTTGACATGCCACTACCTTCAAGGTCAAGTTCAAATTCCTCACCCTAGCATGACAGGAAAGTCCATAAATCCTGGTCCCTATCTCAGATTTGCCACTCCCTCATTCCAGCCATAATAAACATCAATCAGCAATTCTCTGGAACCAGCCAAGGTCTCAGACAATGCTGCTCCTCTTGTCCGGAACTTAGACACAAAACCCAAGATGAAGACAAGGGAAAAAAATCCCAGGAAGAAGCATAACAAAAGCATGAGCTCAGGATGAAAAGGGAAGGGAGGGGAAAAGATTCCAGAGAAGAACAAACCCAGCTGTTCTTCCCTCTCCTTTTACAAGTAGCATTCCTATGGTTGGCTGTTTACAGATCTCTTCAATTACATTTGTAGGTTCACCAAAAGAACAACGGCGAATTCCTGAGATTGGCCTTACTGTCAGACTACAATCCATTCCTAGACTAGTACACCCCACAATCCAAACAAACAAACAAAAATCCCTGCAGTTAAACTGAGTTAAAATTCAGTATGCCAAAAGACAACATACTGACCCTCTCCTGGTAAACACATAGCGCTGAAATGCCACAAAAATTAAATTACGGTGCTTTGTAATAGATTTAGCCCTTTGTTTTTAAATATTAACAAGACTGCCAGAGGGAGTAAATTTATCAAGGGATAAGAATCCTAGCAGTATTCCCAGTTTACTCAAGAGGCCAATTAACATTTCCCACCATGCCCAATAACTAGACTCTCTAGAGTTCAAGGTTGCTTAGGACCCTGTGGGTTTGTCAGCAGAGGCCTCTCTGCCCAATAGCCTACTACGATCAGTGCACTCGGGGTTCAGTGTACAGGGAGGCAAAGCCTGAGCTATTATAAACACCTAAGCAAATTTCATGTGCCTGTATTTTTGTTATGTGTCTTTTGCTGTCTGAAGATCCCACAATTAACGTGGCTCTGATTTTTAAAATCAGCAAATGCCCAACATTCATAAACTGTCGGTTGCCATCTGTGCTTTTCACAATTAGATCACTGTTAAAAAGGAGCAAAATTTTCAGCTCTAGACTTTACTTCAACAAACTGGCAAATCATTAAAGAGGTGAGTGAATGACTTCATTTCATATGTAGAGCAGGTTCACTGTACTATGAGGCCACCCTAAAACAAACCTCTTTCTTGAACTCAAACAACTGTAGGTTCTGAGTTTTCAGGTTTGAATTTTATTACCGCCTCTCCTCCCAACCCATCCCCACCCCCCTCAAGCTTGGCACTTTCTGGATCTCTGCTCATAAAATGACTGTCCATGGATGGAGTAACTGACAAATTTTTAAGGGGTTAAAAAAATATCAGGTAAAAAATGAATTAAAGGGCTGGCCAAGTGGCACGTTGGTTAAGAGCTGGCTTGGGACACCAGAGGGCCCCGGTTCGGATCCCACATATGAGGGCCAGTGACACTGCCCTCTACAGCTAAGATGCTGAACAACAGCTCAACCTGGAGCTGGGCTGCCATGAGTCGCCGGCAACGGCGTAGGCTGCAACCCCTGCTGCAGTGGGTTGCCATGGGCTATTGTGTGTAGCCAGCAGCCAGCGTGAGCGGCCAGCAGCCAGCGTGAGCGGCCAGCAGCTGCCGTGAGTGGCCATCCAGAAGCCGGCGACTGATCTGCCTCGCCCGGGAAGAGCGCAATGATGGTGCCAACTTAGGCCAGTGAAGCAACGTCCTCCACAACTAGACTGAAGAACAAAAGGACAGCAACTTGTCTGTTCCCCTTCCCCCAATTCCCCAATAAAAATCTTTAAAAAAATGAATTAAGAAAATATATTGACAAGGACACAGGGAGAAGACAACCATCAATCAGCCAAGGAGAGAGGCCTCAGAAGGAACCAATCCTGCCAACATCTTAATTTTGGACTGCCAGTCTCTTATACTGTGAGTAAGTAAATTTCTGTTGCTTAAGCAAAATTATATGCGGGGGGGGCAAAAAATGTATACAAGAGGACACTTTGGTCAACGTTGCTCAAGCAGTAGTTCGCCGTCATCAGAAGTGTCTGGACGCTGATGGTAACCACTTTGATCAACTCTTGTAATTGCAGAATCAAACATGACTTGCATTCATCTTTTGTTATCAGTATATATTATTACAATTTTAACAGTTTTTTCCTTTCTTAAAATGTGTGTACATTTTTTTTGGCACCCTCTGTATATATATTTGTTCCTAGGAAAGCTGTGAGCTATATAAGAATAAAAGAAAAATTCACCTCAAAGAAAAAAAACCAAAATGATCAGGTAGCACCAACTATAACTTCCCACCCAAATGACTCCTCTAAATGGATCCACAGAAAGAGTTTCTTGAGGTGTCTTTTGCTAATTTGTGATTAGAGCACAACACACTCAAGAAAATGATGCTCACAGCAGGACACTAATACTAAGTAATTTTATGAGATTATGTCTGCATTTGTGTTAAATAATTTATGCTGGGAGCGGTAATAAAAGCAGAGATAAAGTTAGCTATTGATTGAAGATGGTACTAACCTTGTCCAAAAAAAAAAAAAAAAAAGAGGATGAATGAGTAAGTACCTTCAAGACCCAGCGCAGAAGCACCTGCCAATTGATCTCTTCCTCCTTTAAAAAGGCCCATTGCTCTCGTGAGCAACACTTTTTACACTTGGCAGTTGTGTAGGGTCTGTGTAATCTGTGATGTCCTCATGGTACCAGGGCTAGAGCAGGCACATACAAAACTACTAGGCGGCTGACTGACGGGAAGAAAGGCACAGCCAGACCGAAGACAGTGACCCACCTGTCCTGGCCCAGGTTGGGGAGATGAGAGGGAAAGAACTATACACAGCAATACATTTCATTAACTCTTTAAAAGAACAGGTTAAATAGCATTCACACTGTGTGTTTAAGATGCCGAGTGCCTGCTGCTTTCCAGCGAGTAATGAAGGGGAGTCACCCTGAGAAGCAGAGAATTACTTCTACCTGCATAAAGGCATAATCATTCCAAAACTATGGGATGGGGGCATTCCAATACCACTGCACTATGAGGTATAGGCCCCTATCTTTTAAAAGGCGTATTGTTTTGCTGACTTCTTTGTTTCTGGGGTATTTCTGCAGCCTTTTCAGAAGAACCTTGGAGGATCAGCCAGAGAGCACTGCAACTTTCTGATGTCATCTAGGGTGTATGGGCTAAAAAGGGAACCGAACCTCGAGGTTTTCAAGGTTAAGATAACCATAACTATACCACCTATCATGCAAAGAGATGAGCCACACCAAGTATAGTACAAGTTTATCTTGAGTATGCTGAAGTCTTCAAGTAATCTCTCCCTGCAGAGTCTGGCCCTGAGATAACACCTCAGATACTAAGTCTGGTAAAACTGTCATAATCTCCTTCCACACCTTGGTTCCCCTGAGCACCACACCCTACTCCAGCTTCCCTGCAGCAGCATTGCCAGGACAGCGCTATTCTTTAATCTATGGGCAGCTTCAATATTGGCTAAAGTGTCCTGTTATTTCCATTTTTTAATCCCCTTTCATACCATTTAGACTGTAAACACATTGATCTGATCCCAAATGCTGGGTGCAAACACTTGTTGGTGATCGTGTTAAAGGAAGGCTTCTTTGACTCTATTTGATCTATTTCTGAAGAGAAACTGTTTGCAGGGGAAAAGAGTAGAAATTGCTTTTTTATTATGCAGCTAAATGAACAGAACAAAAATTACATTTCACCAGAATGCAATACAAATTAAAAGTCACACCCTCCAAAGTTACATATGGATTTGGCTAAAAAAATGATAGGTCAAATATCTTTGATGTTATATGTTAGCATGTGCTCTAAGAGACATTTTCCATCTTAGGACACAGAGTAAACAAATTCTATTTCCTAAGAGCAGAGGAGAATGGCAAGGTACAGAATCAGGGGACACTAGAAATGAGCCTATACCTCACCCCTCCTGATATGCCAATCGGACACAGCCTAGGGCTCCTGGGCTAAATTAAAAGTTGAATGGCAACTTGGTTATTAATTTCCAAGAGTCAGCACAAGGGGCTCAAGATAGAAAAGCAGAACCAATCCTGGACCTCAAACATGACTGAGTGCATGTCACAGCATGATTTCCAGCCCAGGATAGGTGGGTGGGTAATAACTTGGCTGGACAAGAGTATTGGCCCTTTCCTGAGTTTACTCACCTACCGTTCAAAGAATACAGATGCTTTCCTATTGTAGCCACAGCCAGCACCATCCATGAGTCTTTATGTGGATGAACCACTGGAATGGGCGCAGCCTCTGAAGGGCAAGACTTATAATCAGCTGGCCATGAGGTCGTGAGAAAGGCCTACAAATGCATGCTTGATAAGATACATAATCATTGAACCCTGGAAGCCACCCAGGAGCTTTGGGAGGAACAAAGTGAGACAGGACACATAACAAGGAAACACTCTTCTCAAACTTCCTCCTTGCTCAAGCGTTATTTCAGAAAAAAATAAAGACTAAGGGGTTTCGTTTAATTTCAATGAAGTATTATTTCCATTTTATGGCAAAACAAGCTGCGAGTCAATCGTTGCTTTGATCTGGCTTGAAAGCTCCCACTAAGCTGCTACTAAGACCTTGGAGATCCTTGGCCTGTAGTTGCGGTTACTGCTAACCAGCAAAAGTGAGAAGTTCTCAGGGTTCTTGGAGACCAAAGCAAAGTCTCCTCTGGCCTCCCTGATATATTAATTTAATCCTTATGCCCGCTAGATAATTATATATAAAAAAAGAAAAATTTAAAAACCTAGGGCCAAGACCCAAAGCTAACCACAATTCAAAGGAGAGAACAATGGACGCTGAACTTCTTTTTCAACTTTTATTACAGCTGATTGTTTTCAGCACTGCTGGGATGACTCACTGGATTATGGGTAATGACCTGAAAGGTCTACTAGAGAGACTAAATGCATCTTGGAAATAACCTCTTGCCTCTAATTTTCTTCTCAATTTTTTTTTTTAACTAACAAAGGGTATTTTTTTTTTGCAATTGCCAGTCCTGAAGTTAAGCTAAAAATTAATTTTCATTCTATCCTTCATCATTCTCTGCCACCACAGTAAACATTACTGAGACTTGCCTATGAGACCGAATGTTGGTTAAACAAACAATGCCTTGTTCACATGTCAACTGAGCTTTCAGTGGACTTAACTCCTGAACCCCAAAGGAGAGCCAGGTTTTTCCTTAATACACTCACTGCCATAAATACTGCTGTTATCAAGTGAAGAGTGAAGAGGTTATTTAGGAGATATTGCAAATAACACTACAGCTGCCTTGAAGCTAGAGGCAAACGTTGCAGACTTGCTCCCTGTCAAACGTACAAGCTATAAAATTATGCCCTCCAAAATACCTCTCATCTCATTTCCAGAAGGAATCTATTCTGACTTGATTGCTACTTTTAAGCTGTCACTTTTTCAGGTTTTCTATGTCAAATGAGACAAGCTTATCCTCTGATTAAAAATGCCATATAATATCAGAAAACCCATCAAATCATGTAAGCCAGAGAGTAAATCATCCAGCTACATGACATCAGTCATTATTTTACAGTAGCACAAATACTTCCACAAACTCTTAAAGCTTTCCAGACACACAGACCATGGAACACAAGGCTAAGCTATTGAGACCTCTCTGTAGCAAAGAATTCCTCCTGCAAATAAGTCTCAATACAAAAGGCTTATATTAATTATTCAAAGAAGTTTAAAAAAATAATAAAAGAACTGACATATGCTACAACACAGATGATCCTTTGTGCTAAGTCAAGTAAGCCAGACACAAAAGGACAAATATTGTATGATTCCATTTATGTGAGGTGCCTAAAACAGTCAAATCATAGAGACAGAAAGTAGAAATGTGATTACCAGGGCCCAGGAGAAAGGGGAACTAGGAATTGCTGTTTAATGGACAGGGTGTGATTACCAGGGCCCAGGAGAAAGGGTAACTGGGAATTGCTGTTTAATGAAAAGGGTTTCCATTTGGAATGATGAAAAAGTTCTGGAAATGGACAGCGGTGATGGTTACACAGTATTGTGAATGTATTTAACGCCACTGCACTGTACGTTTAAAATTGTTACAATAGAAAATTTTGTTATGTACATTTTACCACAATAAAAAAGCTGTATATGAAAGCCAGAACTTTAATTTAGTAAGATTATAGGTGGTAAATAATAAACCTAACCCAAAGGGCATGAAGGTTCTGAACTTAAAATACATTTAAGAATCAACACTCCCAAAGTGTCAAAACAGTCCAGACAAAGCTACAGTCATTCTCATTCCTCTCTCATCCAGGCTCATGACTAAATACCATGTGTATGCTGAAGACTCCCGGATTTACAAGTCCAGCCTTGAACTTCTACCCTGAACCCGGGTCTGTATACCAGCTCTGCACCCTCCCCATCTCCACTTGATGTCTAACAGGCCTCCCAAACTTAATGTGTCCAAACCCAAATCACTGTCCTTCCCTCCCATAAACCTGCTCCACCTGTAGTCTTTCTGTCCTGGTTACTGGTAACTCTACCCTTTCACCCTCACCCCTTGACAGTCTTCTCAACCAGGCAGCCAGCGGCATCCTTTTAAAACAGAAGTCAAATGATCTCATTTCTCTCTATTCAAAAACCTCCAATGAATTCTCATCTCGCTCAGAGTACAAGTCAAACTCAGGACAATGGCCTCTGAGGCTCTCAATCAGGAGTCAGCAAACTTTGGGGGCCAAATCCTGCCAACTGCCTGTTTCTGTAAACAAAGTATTACTGGAACACTGCCACACCTATTCGTTTGTGTGCAGTATTGTCTATGGCTGCTTCAGCGCTGCAAGCTACCAGGCAGGGTTGAGTACTTGCTACAGAGACTGCAAAGCCTAAGAAACATTTACATCTGACCCCTGAGAGAGTAAGTCTGCCCCCTCTGCTCTAAATGATTTGCACCTCATTATCACCCCTCCTTTTACTCTCCGCCTCACTTGCCTCACCTGGAGCCACAACCCCCTGGCTGTTCCGCACATACCCCGCCAACACCCAGCCCAAGGCCCCTGCTCTCGCTGCTCTCCCTCCCCAGACAACTGCAAGGCTGCTTGGGCAACTCCTGCAAGTCTTTACCAGCTGCCACTTCAGTGAGACCTTCCCTAACCACATTACAGTTACAATTGCAGCCCCCCACACCCCCCCCCAAACAACATACAGAGGGTGCCCAAAAAATGTATACCCATTTTAAGAAAGGAAAAAACTGTATTAAAATTATGCTGATGATAACCACTTTGAGCACCTCTTGTAAGAATTGCAGAAGTCAAATGTGACTTGTATTCATCTTCTGTTGTCAGCATATATTGAGTATTACAATTGTAATACAGTTTTTTTCCTTGCTTAAAATGGATATACATTTTTTTGGGCACCCTCTGTATATCCACACTTTCCCCCTTCTCTGCTTATCTTTCTCCATAGCACTAATTGCCTAATGATACATAATTTTCTTTTTGTCTGATCTGCTCCCTATAGACTAGAATATTAGCTCCATGAGGGCAGGATCTTTGTATGTTTTAGTCATGTATTCAGTGCCTGGAACAGTGCCTAGCATACAGTAGCAGCTCAATAAATAGTGGTTAAATATTCTAATTGTAGGGGGTAAAAAAATCAAATGATTAACAAAAGAGATGGGGGAAATTAGGATCCGGACTTTAAAATAATCTGAAAACACAATCTTGGCTTATAACACATTCCAAATGCAGACAAATACCTCCAAAGTTAAAGATAAGTTTCTCAATTAAAAAAAAAAATCAAACACCAGTCTAGAGTTTCAATTAAGTAATAAAGACTTTATGCGCTCACAATTTGGAACCTGTTTCAAGCTATAGCTTTCCAATTTATTTATATCCTACTGAACTTCATTTTTAATCTTCAGAAGTCGGTATCTTAATTTATACATATCCCATTATTCTAGTCCAATATCCCATTAATACTGCTTTTCATTCTACCTTCTTAGCTGAAATAATCAGCACTAAAGAAAAAAACTCCTGTTTGATGAAGTAGGTTCAAAAAATGGTATGTGAGCAAAAACACACCAATCCTGTGCTAACAGTTGGCAACTCTAGTTTTTATAAACAATATTTGAAAGAAGAAAAGTGTACCAGTCAAGCAAAGTCAAAGATGGAAGAATGATAGTAAATACTCTGTCCCACAACAAGAACATCAAGAAAATGTGAAAGGACAATTTGTAAGAATTCCAGGTTTTGAATTTACCAATTAAAGTAATAAACCAGCCTTCTGATATTTAACAACACTAATATACCTGAAATGGCTCACAAATTAATAACACATCAGTTTATGTTTAGAAGAATGCCTAAAAGACAGCACACCAGGCTATGTAATAGAGGTTACTTGGAAGAACAGGTGGGATTACAGAGGACTTTTGACTTTTTAAGATTACAGATTAGTATAATGCTTAATTTCTTATAACATTATACTCCTTTGTAAGAGAACAATAGAAATGATGTGAAAGAGTGAAATAAGCTTGTATATCACAGATAAAAATCCTCAACTAAACATGACTAATGAAGCACCTAGGTTAGAAATAACTTATTTTGATCTCACAAATAGTTAATGTTCAGATGAGAAGGTGCAAACTGTCTACACACAAATGTGCTTTGTTTTGGCTCATCAGGTGTCCTCTGGTTTTCCCTTTATCTTTGTGAATTAATTACCAGATAAATAGTTTGGTGGTTACAAGTATCAACTTTGGAGGAGAACTACCTAGTAGTAAATCCCAGAGGATGAATGACTTGGGCAAATTACTTAACCATTACATGCCTCGGTTTTTTCATCCATAAAATAGGGATAACAATATCCTTACCTCATTTAGGATTAAATATGTTAATATCTGTAAAACACTAAGAAGAAATCCTGGAACATAATAAGTACTATATTTCTTTAAATGTTTACAAGAGGTAAATAATTTCTAAGCTACCTTTAAAATACATGACAACGAAGGCTAGCTCTGGGAAAGTCCTGATTTAAGCACTTACACACAGCATCCATTAGTGAACTGATTTAACAAGTCTGTTAAGGTGGGTCATAGTTTAAAGGCAGACATGGTAAGAGGCTAAGATGCTCATATTAGACCTAGCAACACCTTCTCCATGTTACCGTCTCCAACAGGCACTTTACCAGGTGTGGTGGGTATCCCCTCAACTCATAACAGAAACCCAAAGTCTTCAAAAATTCCTTTTTTCCCCTCCCACGG